TATAACTTACATATGTTGCAGCATCAAATTGATTGTATTGATAAAGAGTTTTTATATAACTTATATAGCATACTTCGTAATAGTTTCAAGAAAAACAATTTTTAACAAAGTTTTAAGGTTAGAAAACTACATAACGTAATAATTGATACTTAAACTACTTTCGGTTACCTGTATAGTATCATAAAAAAACCTAAACAATGATTCCAGATAAAATGAATTCCTAATATTTCATTTCATAAGGTTATGTTTAGTTTCTGAGATGGTTGAATCTTCACGAATTTATTATTGAGATCTGACTAAATCAGTTTTATTACTGCAGCAGTCAATATTTATATATGTTTAGGTCAAAACAAGATTCTATCGCACCATATCTTTCTCTAACTTTTCTCTTTCCAGCCTTTTCTGTACGCATAGGTGAGTGCCGACGGTGGACCTGCACTAATCGCCCTTGGACAGTATATCTGCTAAGCATGTAAATGACAGAACGTAGTTGAAGAATGAAAAATGTAAGTTTAAATAGTATGTAATGAAAGTATTTAGTTACATGCATCTTTTTTAATAATTCTTTGCACGTACCTGTTACTCTAACTGATATTCAGCGTACACTCAATTCTGTTCACATTTTTTTCAACTTTATAAATCGTACAAACTTTTTTTCCACTTTTCTATGTAAGTAAACGTCTTGATAAAGTATTGTAAAGCATAAATAATTTCAGTAAAGTGCCAAAAAATAATGTATCAATTTTTTCTATAGTTCATTTAAGGCATATTGAAGCCATTATAGGGAAAAAATGGGTTAAAAAATGGTTCTTGTTTTTTTTATCCAGGTAGCCAAGTCTCAAAAAATCTTAAAAAAGTCATAGCAATAGCATATTATATAATACAATTTTTAGATTTTTTTCTTGTCTATATCGATAAAACTCTCAGAAGTACGGCTTTTTGATAATTTCGAACGTTTTCCAAAGTTTGAATTGGGCGCCAAAAATTATGAAAAAAATTTCAGTTTCCATGTATTATTTTTGTCTTCAACTTACAATAAGGATTTTTGGAATCGGTTAAGAAATAGCGGAGATATCTTTAAAAAATCGAAATTCACCGTTTGGGGCCAGTAAACTCATGAGTGGATTGGGGTCTGAAAAAATTTTCAAAAAATTTTTTTTACAGTACACTACATACATGAATTTTTTCAGATTTTTTGGTGCTACGGCAGTTTTAACCCCCTAATCCAGCTAGGACATTTGGATAATATAGAACAAATAAAAGTTCAGTTAAGTGTATAACGTACCTCTCACTCTTACGAAAGGGATGTAAAATCGTAATGTAGTCAGAGTTTCATGTATAGCTGCTTTTATACTCTGCATGTACACAAATGACATAAGTACAGGTACGCAATACAATCAAATTAGAATTGCAAGTAGTTCCTAGTAAGAAGCATATAAGCAGTACATATGTTTCTAATACTATAAACGAGATAGGCCCGCCAAATCATGTAGTTTAAGTTAGTCCTCTTTTCTGATTGACTTAATATTATTGCAAAAAACTTTACAGTGGTCTTAAATACAATTTTAACAATTAATTGAATTCGATCGTTTCTCTTGAAAATGATAAAATTGATATAAACTCGATGAAAAAAATTTTGTTTACCACACAGTATAAGCGGATTGCAACTGCTGTTATGTCGCTCAAACATCAAGAGCTTTTAACTTAAGAATGGCAGAACACAAAAGCGGCACAAAAAAAGAGATGGATCTGTACTATCACAATATAGCATTAGGTTTGCTTACAACCGTAATTTCAAAAGGATAAAAATTTTAGACTTAGAACAAAATTTTAAAAAACGCCTTATTTCTAAAATATTAAATATACGTTACAAGGATGAAAATATTAATAGACAAAGTTATATGCTCAAAGCGTTTAGGACCTTTAGCCTCAGTAAGTTAGATAATTTAAAATTTCATGGCTTTAAAACCTAGTAAATTTTATGATTTGGATTCTTATAAGCTAAAAATGTGATAAGCTGCTAACTTCAAGCTCTTTTAACCTCGAAACCTACTAACTTTTACACTAACTTTGATTTTGACTAAAAACAAAAGAAGTACTAAAATATACATAAAATTCAAGTATATTGATCTTGATTACTTATTTATGTCTCGAAGTATTTGTGTCAGTACTGTATTCTTTTGGAAAGTAATGTTCTTATTATTACATGTCCCAACGGTGAATTATAATTCAGGACAATAGCCATTGAGAATTCACAACATAACTTTGAATTTGCAAAAAAAATTTAATTTTGATAAGATACAAATTGTAATTATAGAACAAAATAATATAAAACGCCTTTTTCTAAATGCTAAATAAACATTTCCTCAAAAAATGTCAATAGACAATAGGGTACGGAGAAATTCAAAAATTGCTATAAGTTTGTCGTTAGGTTAATAGAAAAGAGGATTAACTTGATGTACATTAAAACTCTGACTACATAACGATTTTACATCCTTTCTGTAAGAATCAGAGGTATGTTATACACTCAACTATTTTCATTCATTGTTTTCATCAATTTGCATTCATTGTAATTTATTAAAATTTGTATTGTAAAGAATTTTTTTTCGTATAGATTTTTGTATCTAATGAGAGTCGGGATGTTATCCAAACGGCCGAAACGTTGTTTTGTTTTAAATACATAAGAAATATGATACTACCACCATTGGACGTTGTTTTTAGTTATTTACTAACAGTCATTGGATATCTTACTTTATTAAAATTTAATAATTTTGACATATTTACACTTGTTATTATAAACACATTTATGTGAAATTTACATTTGATACTTTTTTAATTACGAATTTGATTTCTTATTAATTATTTATGCACCTAAGGTCAACATTGTATATTTATAATATTTTATGTGTTATTCATACTTTTGATATGCATGTGCATGTACGTGTATTTATTTTTCAAACTTTTTGGTTATACCCATCTCATCCTCAATAGTTAAAAAAAAGAAGAACAATGATGTGTAACCTTTATTTGAAGATCATACTACATTTTATAAAGATTTTTGTTTCAAATGTTGGCAGGTGGCGCGAGTTACAAAATCGACGCCATCACCATGTTACTAGATGCGCATTTTGTTGAAGAGACAAAATTGTATAAGCTATGACAGTGTGTAGAGTCTTGTCATAAGATCTTCAAAGTGTTTTCAAAGCCACAAATAACACTGATAGATTAGTAAATTATATACGTAATTTTATGGGGCGCATAACAAATATCGTGAGTTATAAATAAATAACGGTACATTTGTATTATCTCCTGACTCTTAAAAAAAAAAAGCCACTTAACCTTTTTTAAGAAATCATGCCTTACAAAATACTTTTCTCAGAAGATGAACTGAAATAAATACCGAACTATTTTCTGAATACTTAAAAATCGATAATAAATACATAACGAACCCAAAAAATTTCGTACTATAAGCTCTCGCAATTCAAACAGCTAGAATATTCTGTATTCCGCACAACTATATTAACCATTACAGCACGCGACTTTACGCAATTACCTTGGTCGACTGGGTTGCGGGTCGGCACCCGAGAGACCACGGTTCGATTACTGGTTAGTGCAACTCTTTCGAGCAATTACCTCTGAGTATTTTCACATGTGCCTTTTTACCACGCAATGCTCCTCGTGAATAGATGGACAACCTTCTGACAGCAAAATTGCCTATCACTTAGATTCTTTACTGAAGTGGTCTATGTGACATCATCACCACACCAAACAATTGAAAAACTGTATCCAGTATCGTGAAATATGTGTAAACAATAATGTATTATAAGACTATATAATTATAAGAAAAAATTACAGAAAATGCCTTTTTCTGAAAAGTTAAATATACATTACTTCAATAAAAAAATTAATAGACAACAAGATACAGAGAAACTAAAAAATTGTTCTAAGTCTCTCGTTAAGTCAATTAGAAAAGAGGATAACCTTATTGTACATAATTTGAAAAACCTCTTTCATTTATAGTATTAGAAACACACGTACTGTTTAAGTGCTTCTCACAAGGAACTGCTTGCGATTCTTATTAAATTGTGTTGCGCGCATAAACTATGTCATTTGTGTATGTGCAGAGTTAAAAGCCGCTAAACTTGAAACTCTGTCTACATTACGATTTTACATCCCTTTCGTAAGAGTTAGAGGTATGTTATACACTCAACTAAATTTGTGTTCATTGGAATTTATTAAAATTTATGTTGTAAAGAATTTTTTTTTTACTTCTAGATTTTTATACCTAATGAGAGCCAGGACGTTATCTAAACGACCGAAACATTATTTTGTTTTTTAAAAAAAATACAAAATATGCTAGTACCATTGTTGGACGTTGTTTTCAATCATTTACGAACTGACATTAGACGTATTATTTAATCAAAACTAAACTATATAAACTCGTTAACAATACAAGCTTCAAAATGAATGCACTTCGTTAGTAGATATTTATTAAAAAAAAAAAAAAAACAGTCAAAATGTTTTATGCTCAAAGCGTTTATGACTTTCACTCTTAGTAAGTTCAATAATTCAAAATTTCATGGCCTTTAAACAAGGTAAATTTTATGTTTTTCCTTAAAATTCAATCATCTGCAAACTTCAAGCTCTTTAAACCTTAAAACTTACTAACTTTTACACTGTTTTTGTTTTTGACAAAAAATGAAAGGAGTAAAAAGTTCCATAAAATACAAGTATGCTCATCTTAATTACTTATTTGGAGCGTGTGCAAGATTAAAGGTGCGGTTGACGATAAAAACTTTTATATAAAATTTATTTTAACTAATCCTTTATTACACGTTTTATTGTTCTTACAGGAACTATACTATGTATTTGAAAGAATTACCTCAATCAATAAAGTAATGAAATAACTATGAATAAAACGTTTGAAATTGTTCTTGTATATACAAATACAACTTATTTTACTCACATTTAAACTTAAAAATTCTAATGTTATTACTGACCTGTGCACCTACGATACCATTTCCACCATAAAAGTTTTTAGCATACATATGCATAGAACCACCTTTTCCTCGAGCATTTCCACTTTGGCGTCCTGTTAGTTCAGTTAATACACCAACGGGTGGAACTCCCATTAAATAAGTCCATCCATGGGCTCTGTAAGCGGTTATCACTGAATCTTGAGGACGTAATGCAGCAACCATTCCAACTGCACATGCTTCCTAAAATACGAAAATTCTAGAATAAGTTCATGTGTGCTTCTTACTACAATTTTTTTGTTTGTTGATTTGCCTGGCAAAAATTGGTTTACAACTAACTGGTGTTAACTTATGTAATAATTTTATATTTACATCTTCTTATTTAGAGATAATTTTTCTGATATCCTAATAGATTCAATATAGTGGTTACCATTAAATGGTAGATAATTCATTTTACTATAAATCTCTTGCTGTGAGTATCTAAAAATACAAGGGCATGATCACTTAGGCAAGGTACAGTAAATAACATGCTTTCACTCTAAGTGTAACAACATAAAATGGCGAACTAAGTTTTTTTTACAACATTCCTAACACTTATGTTAGTAAGGTATGAGAGCATTACAAGCACAACATATGAAAAAAAATAAATAAATAAAATTAGTGCACACTCATCAAAATTCAAACTTATTATTTATGATAAAATCTTTGAACAAAGGCACTAGAACTTTAAATTGATTTTTTTTCTTTGTAATAAAGCTTTTGCTCGTAAGAAATTTAAGTTTTAAGTTAATTCTAAATACTTAAGATACTTATTAATATTACTGACGTTAACTGCATTTTTCAACATTCAATAATTCATCTTGTGTTTTATGCAATAATATTATACATACTTGTTTGTAAGGTGAAAGTATTGATTTTAGCGAATTTAATGTATTAAATAAAAAATATTATTATTTTCTAATAAGCTATAGTAAAAATCAGGCTTTTGGGGGGTAGACGGCTCTGAATAGAGAGGGAGAGTTGAGGATAGTCAGAGTTGTCTTTAAGGGTATCGATCAGCAGTCAAGATCGAGCAGCAGTAAGCACCCCGTGCTACAGACTCTAGGCATGAAGAGCTAGTGCACTTCTGCTGGAATCACTTTTCACCACTAGAGTTGGTGCCACTGGTGAGTAGTTGGGTGGTGATTCACGACAGTCGAGAAGAGCCCGTAGCCTGTGCTCTTGTCTCTTTCTCTCAATTGTTAAACAGTAGTTAGGCCGTAGAGCAAGTAGTGCCGATAATGGTTGATAAAAGCAGGTGAAAAAAAAAGTTGACACACTTAATTTTATGTGGTAGTAAACATTAGTGTTTTATTAAAATCAATTAGTGCTCTAACCACTGCCGTAACGTAAATCTCATCTAGAGAGCATGAACCTAGCTTCAGCTTAAGACCAGGTGATCGGAAGGATAATATTGAGAAGTCGCGCAGCCCTTCTCATATACTATAAGCTACTTTCTTGCTTGCTATGTTTACCAGAAAATATTAGTTGGGCAAGTGGTAGGCGTACCTATCAAGCGCAAAAATTTGAAGGTGCGCGCGACATTTAAAAATTAAATTTATGTAAAACGCTTGAATTTAAAGCATAATAATTATTTTTATAATTAATAATTAATAAAAAAATTACCCCAGAGGGTTACACTATCANATTTCTCACAAAATCTAAAGGTTTTTAAAGGTCTTTTAACGGGCTCATGTTGCTTATTATATTTGTGAATGATATTATCTCTGTGATGTCCCAGTCGCATTCTGTTTTGAGTACATCTTAAATCACCACTTTACTGCAGAGCTCTGCAAAGATACTTGGAGACTGTTCCTAATTGGTCTTATGAGAATGAGTTGTCTCTCAACATTAATAAATGCTAGTTTGTTCCTTTAATAGTGGCAGACAATTCTGATTCGTTGTATAATCATTTTATTCCAACACGGGTTACAATGAGACTATTCAAATACAGGCAAAAAGAGTTATTAAAGTAAATAAGAAAATTATGAGAAATATACAAGTAAAAAATTTACAATTTGTACTATTTTTTACAATTTTAAAACTGTTGGGTCACCTGTATCAATACAAAGTAGTGTTAAAGATTTCAGACGATGTATTGTTAAATAAAAATTTCTTAAAAATAAATACATTTTTTTTTTTCAGTGATGTTCGAGAAATAATTTTTTCGTTTTTTTTCAAGTATTGAAAAAAAGATATTAACTTGCGTGCACAACAAAGATATTTACTTGGAGATCTCAAAAATTAATTGTGCTTGACCAGCTTCAGCAAGTAACAGTCCCTGAAAATCCAGTATGATACCAGGAATGGTAATCGTGCTTGCCGTTCTAGAGCATGATACCTTGACATCAATTTTGGCAAAAAAATTTCTCTAGACAAATCCATTGGAAGGCACACATACAGACCTTCAGCTAGGTGTCTGGAAAGCTTATTTTTTTGGAAGGCATGAATGATCTACATGAGTATAATTTTATTTCATACTTTTCAATTTATGTGTAACTATTACCCACAGTTAATCTATATCGTAAGTCACCGATAAAAGCCAATAAGAAATTGTACTCAAAGTTTTTAACGATCAATTTTTCTTGTTATATGTTTTCGGACAGCATTTTAATTTAGGTTAACATTTGAAAAAACATACAAGCAATATTTAAAGCTTTTATTTTTCGTTTTAATTTTAGAAATATTTGTCAGTACATTTTTATCAAAACCCCATTGTAATATTTACTAGGTTTGAAAAGTTTTGTATTAAGTCTACGCAATGTTAACACATACTCTGAATAGTTTCAAATTCAGTAGGAAATAGTCTATCCATCTTACTAATATAAAAAGCAAAGTCACTAAAACCATTGTAATCGCTAACCACTAAACTACTGAACCAATTTTGCTGAAATATTGCATACTGATACTTGATAATTCTAAGATGGTTTCATCGAGGTAAAATTGAAGCCACCTGCAATCAAAGATAGTGAAGAGTGGTTATAAGATGCCCTATCGAGTTGTAAAATATCGTAGTCGTTCATCGACAATGCACCAAGAACAGAGTTAAAAGTCGTGCAGCTGGGCCTCCCAGCTACCGACGACACTCTTCTTTCATAGGCAAGCAAAATACATCCGTTTTTACCCCCGGATCGCCAAGATAATCGAGTGCCACGAACAAATAGGCATCCGGAACGTCAACATTTCCAAAGGAATCCCAGGAGACGTGTGTAGCCAGAGCATAACCTGCTCCATCACTTCAGAGTTTTGTGGCCGTTCAACTATCTGGCCTGGTATCGTCAGAGAATTTTCTACTTCAAATGCAAGCTAGGAAAGACAGCCCGGAAGAGTACGAGCAGCCCCATAGGCCTCCTTCTTAGTGGTCGTCTCAACGGCATACCTACACAAAAAGTACTCTTCAGGCTCATTTTCCCAACTAACGATAGGCAGTTGGTTATCTGGGGAACGTCCAGAAGACAAGATATTCTTTGGTCAGCGGTGTACCTCCCTCCAACACCGTCTCCATACACAGAGACTCTAAGGATAAGAGTCAAGCTACCCGCAGCTGACTCTCCATCATAATGAGTAATAATAAGAAATAACTGGAAATTTTACCACCAGCCTTTTTCAGGGACATTATAAGGATTCACGTTCCCTATTTAACCATCAATCTCACCGATTCTTTTTAGGTCCACCTAACGTGTTAAAGTACCTTCCCAACGAATAAATTGTTACTATAGCATTTCCGAAAACGATTCGTTAACTCATAGACTATGTAAAGCTATACAATATTAAACCAAGTCAGTCATTCACTGGCAGACGTCACGAAAGGAGTTGTTTGTCGCAAGGCTGGGAACCCCGGTGACCAACGACTCTATAGTACCCTCTCGACTCTAACCATTCAACCAGGAATCACTGATCCTCTCCAAGGTCTGCACTGTAAGAACCTAACAGCTATAAAGGAAAAATGAACTTAAGCTAACGGGACAGTCTCCAACGGGCAAGCATCACAAACCGATCCCCTCACCTTAGATCACCAAAACCACTGAACTCTGCAAAAAAGGTGCTTTAGGTGTTTGATAGTATTGGTCGTTACTTGATGACGATTTATGTCAGGTTAATTATTAAATTCAATAAATGACTTTTGATTTAAAAGTCGATCTTCACTTTCATTCGTTACAAACGTTACAGCTGTTTTAGTATCACAGTACCTTCTTCAGAGGTATGTACGACAAGACTAAGTAATATACCACTTTTTTATCATAACAATACACACAGGAGTATATATGTTTCGGTTTAACAACAACGAACAATACATATAAATCGTACATAGTCAATACACACATATTATCTTAATTCTAAATTTAGTGAAGGTGAGGTATCAAGGTTTAGCATATCATTCAGCAATACGTTTGAATTTTTCGATTTATTAATTTCTAATGCTTCTAAAAAATATAACTTCTTACCCTTCTTACATGGACGCAAAATCTTAAAATAATCATTATAAACATGATTACAGTCATTCATATAGGAAGCATAGCTATAACTATCTAATATTATTATGTAAGCATTTTTATGTTCATTCATCCTATAATTAAAAGCTTTACCCGTCTGTTCTATGTACTTTCTATTAAGAGATCGGCAATTAAGTTTGTTAATACTAGACTTATTTCTTTCTTCTGTTTTGTCTCAAATGTTTTTAATGACTGTTTGTAGACTTTGATTAGACTTAAACGTAATGTTGTGTATTATATTTTTTTAAATGATTATTTATTTTTCATGACACTTTTCCATTATATGTCATAACAAAAAATTTGTTATTTTCTCTTACAAATAAAGAGAATACTTCTTTTATAGCCATTTTATATTTTATATTTTTAACCATTTTATCGATAACTTCGGGATTATAACCGTTGTTGTATGCTATTCGTTTGATAATATTTAACTCATTGTTCTAATTAATAGAACTTCATGGTACAGAGAGAAGTCGATAAATGAACGAGAAAACAACAATAAAATCAATTTTTTAGATTTAATATGACATAGAATTAACGGTCCCATAGAGTATAGTGTTTTACAAAAGCCGACACACGCAGACAGTACCATACATAATACTTCCATCTTTTCTTCCTCACATAAAATGTCTGCATATTACAGTATTATTTGTCGACTTCTCTCTATACCATTAAATTCAAACGTATTACTGAATGATATGCTAAACCTTA